TGATGTAACACACAGAAGCTGGAAAGTAGAAACACCCCAGAATGAGACAGCGCCTTCATAAGGCACTAGACTAACAGGGCAAAGGAGTCATTACACTTGTGAAATAAAAGACAGGGACTCCTAATCATTACATCATTTTATAAAAAGGAAGAAAATAACCTAAAAGCCATTAGAGAAATGGACAGAAGGTACAAAGAGACAAGTCACAGAATCTCCCTGAAAACTCAGACATTCTGCTTTGCATGTGGAAGCACACAAAATGGCAGCCACACTAAAGGCCTGGCCCTGTCAGGTGAGTGGTGGTACCTTACAAGGCAGGCACAGTACATGAGCTCCCTGTGCCCAGCATTCTCAGGTCTACCTCAACCTGAAGTTACACCTCAAACAGTATGTCCCACGAGGTTAATCTAAGTGCTACAGCTCCGAGGGAAAGGTTTCCCCACTGTAGGGTAAAAGGACCAGGGAAAGAACACCCTAACCCTGACTTGACCCCAAGACCAGGGCCAAGAACTTGAAATCCCACCAATCCCTGAGCTTGCCCTAGAGTCATGCCATAGAATCACACCAATCCCCAAGCTTGCCCAAGACTAACCACTTACCAATCTCAGGCCACCCTGGAAAGCACCCCCCCCCAAAAAAAACCCCCAAAAACCCAACTCTATATAAACTCTGCCTTCTGCTCAGTTCCCTGCTCCTCACCGGAGCAGAGGCAGCCACCCTCCTGGGTTTTTCCCTTCCAATGAATCTCTTGTGTGAGGTTTGTTGTGCTGTGTGACACTTTCACGGGAGCCGAGCTGTAACACTTCTGCATGAGCAGAGCAGAGCTGTAACACTTTTGCTGGGGGAAACTTTCCCTTTGTGGGAAACAAAGGGAAACATTGGGGCGGGGCAGATACTTCCGCTAGGGAAACAGTTCCTTCCCTTCAGAGCTGCAACACTTACACCCACTGCAAGTGTTACAGCTCTGGAGGATAAAGTATCCTGACAATTGGGAGCCAAGGAGTAACACAAAGTCACACTACACAACTAACCTCACCCAAGAGATTTACTGGGAGGGAACCCCCCAGGACGGTGGCTGCCTCTGCTCAGGCAAGAAGCAGTGGAGAACTGAGCAGAAGACAGAGTTTATATAGTGGGTTTTTTTTTTTTGGGGGGGGTGGGCATTTCAGGGTGGGGATCAGTGGGATTTCAAGTCCTGAGCTTGGGCTTTTTACTCTGTGGGGTAGGAACTGGGTCCCATTAGGGCAGTTAGTGTATTTTGTGGGTGGAACCTGGGGGTTGGAGGTCCTCAGGGGAGGGGCCTGGCCACTCACGTGCCTTGAAGGGCTTACACTTACCCTGAGTCACTGAGTTACAGAAGACCCAGAGGACAAGCCTATCTGGTGGAATACCATGCATGGATGGATGATTCCCGGGTACTGCTACATGCAAAAGCCATCTACAGAAAGAAAGAGAAATAAAATGTGTGCATCTCTGCCTGTCTTTACAAAGATAAACATAAACAATGACATTAATGACCAAGAAGAGGGGTGGAGGTGTGTTGGAATGCAGTCTAAGAATGAGTCATATAAGGAGAATTCTGATTGCTTGTGAGAAAACTCCAAGAAAACGAGAATCTTATGACCTCAGTTTCTTCAAAAACATGGACTTATTCTTGGAATGTGCTTTTGTGCACCTCCCAAGTGTAGCAGATAGGAGTGACTTTATTCATTACAACTGGCTATTATTTGTTTATACTCCTCTATGGAAAAATATGTTTTTGTCATGTGCGCTTATCCTTACGATTGTAAACTTGACTCATGTGACTCTTCTTAACTCTCAGGGTAGAAAGTGTCTGATGCTCTGAATAAAGTTGGCTGCTGCATGAGACGTTAGTCCGCCTTTTCCAGGCTCCACCCCCCCAGGCTCCTCTGCCTGTAGAGCGTCAACAGAGGTGAGGAAGAACACCCCCCCCCACCCCCCCCACCCCGCACTTGCCTCTAGTAGTGGCTCCATCCCTAGAAGCATAGTCATGCTGTGCAAACTGAAAATGGTGGGAAGGTGGTAAAAGCTCCTAAGACAAAGGCTTGCATGCACACAAACACATATTATCTTCATTTCAAGTGGAAAACAACTATCCTGAGGCAGGGCAAGGACCAGCCCAAGAAACTTATCAACAGGGTTGACACACGTAGTCATGGGCAGGGGAGTGAACTGCAGATGGATCTTGACCTCCCTCTGGCAAGTTTGTTCTGCACAGCAATTCCAGAATTACAAGATGTGTATTTTGTTGTTGAACAAAGTACCGAATGTATGGACACTGCCAAGAGCCACAGTTTCCATTGTGGAAGGAGTTTACAGAGTTGTGGCATGGAGGATGACAGGAACTCCATGACATGGGATCAAATGTATGGGTACTGGGGCTGAGGATATAGCTCAGTGGTGCATGCTAGGCTAGCATGCATAAGGCCCTGGGTTCAACCCCCAGTCCTACCAAACAGGTAATATAGATATGGCTCATGACTGTCCATACATGTTCATGTGTGCACATGCAGGCATGCTTGTATGTCCTGATCTGTCTACAGGAAGTGCCTAAGAGCAGACACCCAAAGAGCAACAAGGATACTCAGCTCCAGATCTCAGCCTAAAACCATTCTCCACCAAAAGGAGCCAGGGCACTTGAAACATGACTAATCCCACAGCCCAGGAGGACACACACTTCAGAGTGCTGTACACCAGAAACATTCAAAGGGGCATGTCACAAGGTAAACACCACGTACAGGGCTCCCATTGGACACATCTCACACCATAGAAACATCAGAATTAGGAATGATTTACAGAACATTGACGTTAAGTAGTAATCCCCCCCCCCACACACACACGCAGGCATAAGTATTTATAGCTGTGGAGTATCCTGTGCAGATATGTGCTTTGCAGGCTGTGTATGTGATATCTGCATGTGCATACACATGAGCATGTGTGGTATAGGCCTTCATACTGGATACATGATGTGCACACATATGTTATTTGTATGATCAGTCATATTTCATAAATGAATGTTCAGTACAGTGTGACAGAACCAGTGGTCCCTACTGTGAAACCAGGGCAGAGACTGTCTCTGGAGGTAACCACATAACAAGACAATATAAGAAAACATAATTTTTATTTCTGTTCTTTTATAAACATGTTTAGGTCCTAAGAATGAACAGCTGCAATAATGGGTGGTGGTGGAGCTCCCTGTCCTGAAGCTCTGGGTTTGTATTGTGGTCTCCTGAGGCCATGGGCACCAAGTGTGGTTCAGGGCAGGAAATACACAAAGGGTCCCTGCAGAGCTGGGGTGGCAGGGTGTTCTTGCCTGGCTCGCTGTCCCCTCTTGGTTATGACTGGTTCCCAGGTTGAATATAAACGATCCTGTGGGCCACCTAACCATGGCAGACAGGTCTGAGCAGGCCACTGTCACACTTGGTGGTGTGTCCCGGGCTCCACAGTCTCTCCACCCTATGCCCCAGGTGTGGCTATGGCAGGGCCCAGCCTGCTGCAGACCGACACCAGAGGCATGCTGGGAGTCCTTGGTCCTTTGCTTTGCTTTCCTGAACTGTCTTCACTGAGTTAGAAGGGTGACCACACTGCGATGCTCCTGGTGAACTCCCACCCTCTCAGGCCGGCCTAAGCAGCCGCTCCAGAAGCACCAGTTTTGTCTGCAGGTTGACATCAAAGGGTGGCAGCTTGGTCAGAGTCAGACTCACACCCGTAGTGCCCTCAATACTGGCCAGGACACGGTGTGTGTCGCTGTAGAGGGCCAGGTGCCTGGGTGCTGCCTCCATGAGGATGTGCGTGTAGTCCAGCATGCCCGCTGCTCCAGGCTGGACATCTTCCCTCTTGTCATACCTGGGAGAGAAAAGGCAACTGTCTCACACCGTCTCTCCCTACCACCTAGGTGCCACTGAAGTGACTAATAGGTGGCCTCTGTGAGAAGCAACTCCACCTGTAGCTGTAATACTCCAGAAACAAACCTCCAGTCATCGTTGACCTGTAGAAACCGTGACACTCCTGTCTGGGCAGCAGCCACATCAATGTGCAGAAGAACATCTAGGAAAAGCAAACCTCAGTTAGAAGCCAACATGGTAGCTCTCTCAGGGCCAGCCTGGTCCCCGGGGAGCACCCTGTACCAACCTGTCTGGGGTGGCACCAGCTCATGTAGCCGCTGCATTGCGACACCACCAGGATAGTTGAAATGGGATACGTAGAGGGATGTGGCCGTATATGCCACATTTACCAGGATGTGTCCTATCACAAGCAGAGTTCCCATCTTGTACAGCCAAGGCTTTTTATAATTATTCAGGCTGTAAAAAGAATGACATTCAACGAAATGCATATGGTGGCAAGAACACCAGCATATTCAGTCACATCTAGGAAAAGAAGTCCTAGAATATCAGCCCACTCCAACTTCACCAAGTCATTACAAGCAGGGAAGTTAATCAAAGATATATCTGGACAATCAACCAAAGATCAAAAGGGCTTTGAAACCGCTCTTAATAAAAGCACCAACTCACCAGGCAGCGGTGGCACATGCCTTTAATCCCAGCACTTGAGAGGCAGAGGCAAGTGGATCTCTGTGAGTTCAAGGCCAGCCTGGTCTACAGAGTGAGTTCCAGGAAAGGTGCAAAGCTACACAGAGAAACTCTGTCTCCAAAAACCAAAAAAAAAAAAAAAAGACCAACTCCTCATCTGGATCCACATGGTAACTAAACACAGATAAAAAGCCTGGCATTGCTGGCCTCTTTCTGCATGTCTCCTGTCCTGAGACTCTGGGTCCCTCACCTCTTTAATTCTGACTATAGATATGCCACATCCTCAAGGAGTCTTGTCTACAAGCTGATGACAGCCAATCCATTTCATGTTCCTTCAAGGTTGAAGGCACAAAGTGAAGATACAAACTGAGGTATCTTACTGTCAGCTTTGACAATGTCCTGTCCCAAACCCACAGAAGGCACCTTAAAGTTGTCCTAAACCCCACAGACACATCACCTCATGATCATCTCTTCTAAATGTCATATGGGGACAGACAGATTGCTGGGACTCCCGAGCTTAGGCTAAACTTGCCTTAAAAACCTCAAGTAACCAAAGTGACTAAAATACAATCTGAAGAACTTTGTGGTTGCCCGCAGTGGCATAGGCCTGGAATCCCAGCATTGGGAAAGCTGAAGAATAAATGATGGCAAATTTGAAGCCAGCCTGGGTTACATAGCAAGATTATCTCAAAACAAAAAGGGCCGGTGACATGGCTTAGTGGGTAAAGGCACTCGCCCTGTAAGCCTGGTAACCTGAGTACAAACTCACATAAAGGTGTAGAGAGAATTGGCTCCACAAATTGGTCTTCTGACCTCCACAATCATGCCACAGCATGTGCACCCCCCATAATGCACACACATAATAATAAGTATATAAATGAAAACTTCAGATTTCCACTCAAGAGCCAATTCAAGTTTATACTAGGTTTTTAAAAAGCCTTTTCAAAAGACTCCTCAGTTTCTGCTTAGGGCAGAAGTCCAGCTCACTGCTTACTTCTGTTGTGTCTAAACAAAGCACACGGAACAAATCAAGGTTTCCAAAATGCCAGCCTGAGGACTGGCAGGCAGACTTCAACAAGAAGCCCTGTACTGAGGATCTTTCAGAATGCTCAGAATCTCCAGGCCAGAACAGCCCAACCCTGAACCAGGTCCTGGGATTGGTTCACCCTCCCTTCCTTTCCCAAGACTGTCTTTGGTTGGAAAGAGGGGCTGGCATTTTCTGTGGGGGCATGAGTGTGATATATGTGTGTACCTTTGTGCGCAAATGCACGCACTCGGGTGTGCATATGCAGAAGCCAGAGAGCATCAGGTATCCTCCTCTATCACTCTCCATCTTATTCCTTTGAGATAGTGCCTCTCATTGAACATGGAATCTGCCATTTTTTTCTGTCCCCCTTCATGGCTACCATGGTGCTGGTGTTACAGGTTAACATGTTAACATTGGTGCTGGGGTCCCAAACGCAGATCCTCATACTTGTATAGCAAGCGTTCTTACCTATGGTCCATCCCCCTTCGTTGGCTTCCTGAACGCTGTGATTACAGGTGTGTACTACCAAACCCAGCTCCAAGATGTCGTTATCTTTGGTCTTCTTGGTCAGTTTCTGGGAACAGCTTTACATGCATTCTCTAAGTCATCCTGTTGAAGTCAGTTTGCTCCTACACTGATCTA